TAAAAAATAAGCTTTAAAAATAATTTAGCTCAAAAAATTAAAAGACAGCATTAGCAAGTAAATGAGCATTTGCGTTAAAAAACTTAAAATAAGTCTTTAGATTTATTTGACACTAGCCCTTGATTCTCGCAGTAAATCTGAATGTATACCGGGCAGTGGCCCATGACCTCAGAAAAAAACATTAGTGTAGGGTATTCCGGGCAAATGTATACCGGGCTGTGGCCTTTGACCTTAAAAAAACATCAGTGTAGGGTAAACCGGGCAAATGAATACCGGGCAGTGGCCCTTGACCTCAAAAAACATTAGTGTAGGGTATACCCGGCAACTGTATACCGCGCAGTGGCCCTTGACCTTAAAAAAACATCAGTGTAGGTTATACCGGGCAAATGTATACCGGGAAGTGGCAATTGTATACTATGATTAATCTTTCTAGATTTTACTTAGATTTTCTTACCTNTTTGGGCACTCCACCGATCACAATTGTTGTTACACTATGAATTGTTATTACACAAATGTTATTACGCTATGAAGCATATGTAACAATTAAATTAAAATTCACAAAAAAACAAACAAAATAATAAACAATTATTAATAAAAAAATTAAAAATGAATTCTAAAAAACAATTGTTAACAGTAAAAAACAAGCTAACAATAAATAACTAGCAAAAAAAATCAACAGTCCTGCTTAAACTAACATCTTACAACCTAATATAAGTTATTGGTCATCTAATCTGCAACAAAAGAGGTCACACTGATGTTACTTTAAGTTGAATTACTTATATAACTGAGACATTGCAAAATGTATTTTTTCTCAATGTAAATAAAGAGTTTTGAGTTGATAGTAATTAGTATCAATCTTTTCAAAATAATCACGAAGTCAAAATTATTTGACGGCACGTCTATGATCTCATTAAGCAATTTTTTAGAGAAAATGGCACGTTGGTGTATAAAGGTTCGCCACCCCTGGTGTAGGGTATTCCGGGCAAATGTATACCGGGCAGTGGCAATTGTATACTATGATTAATCTTTCTAGATTTTACTTAGATTTTCTTACCTCACCTTCATAATAATACATGAAATATAAAAAAATATTTCAGACACTATATAAAATTAGTTACGATTTAAAAAAAATTTAATCAGAGTGTAAAAAGTATTATCTTTTAAAAACATCAGATTAATTTAAAACTTATTAGAAATGTATATTTAAATCCAATCCGAAATTGATAAATGGCGTCATCGTTTTAATTTTAAAAATCTACTTGCAGAAAGAATAGGAACTTATGTGTCTTCAAAAAAGATATTGGAATCGGATTCACTGTATAGTTCCTCCGCCGAAATGATGCGCAGTAAATTCTACTTTCCCCACCTTTGAAATAAATGGAATGATCCAGTCTCATTCAGATTCATTGTGAAATTCAGGGGCTACTATATTTGGCACGTATTAATTGGTAATAAAAATGAATTTAGCTTGCCAGTCAGCTTTTTTAGCCCTAGACAAAAGATTTCGGCTAACTTAAAACAAAGTACTAAAAGCTATTATTATCTTATTATTGACATCGAAGAGTTGAGACTTAACTTAGAGCTAAATGAATAGCTTGATGAATAAACACATTTAATAAATACTGTTCACATTAAATTAGAATTTATATAAAATTCGTTTTAGTTGAATTTGGCATCAAATACTTGTGATGCGTAAAGCACAAAAACAAAGTAAACAGAATAACTACAAGTGCAATTTTCAATGTAAGGATGAATGCAAACTTAGAGTTCATATATAATTATAAAATAATTTAAAAATACAGAATGCGTGCTTGACATCACGTCGCTTCATTATTCTTCTTTCAGTAAGAACCTCATTCGAACTTGTCGAGAAATTTAGACGAAACTTTAGTAGGTCTCCCAACACTTGATGCCTTGTAGGAAAGAGCTTTCTTTAACGGTTCGTTAGAAAAAGTAACAATTTTCACTTTAATATTTGGAGTAGCCTATTTATAAATGGCTGGTGGTATGCTGACTGTGAAATGTTGTTCTTCAAGTCTGCAGACTGTTTCAAACGATTTACAGAGATGTTTCTGGAATTGTTAATGTTCTAAAATATGTAATTTTGAATGTTCTGGGGATGTTCTTCAAAGGTCCAATTCCCAGAAAGCATGTAACCTTACGACAACCTTGTGTTTTAACTTTATTTTCATTGTCACGAAAAGGTTTGCAGTAAAAACCTTTTTTCAATGACGTAAAAATATTGCAATTTCCTACCTTTCCTCCTTAAAGGAAAAGTAAATGATTTTTAAATCTTTTCTAAAAAATATTGTTATTTAGGTTAAAAAACAAGCAAATTGTAAACCTTATTTTTTGCATTTTTGTTTGCTGTCATGATTAGATTAGCAGAAATATTAAGCGAAAACCTTTTTCAAAGGAAACGAAATAAAGCAAATATTAACCTTTTCAGCGAAAATATTAATAAATAATACGAAAATATTTTGTAAAGGACCTCATTTAAGGGAAAGCAAATAAACGAACATAAGACCATGTTTTTGGATTGTTTTTTAAGGTCTGCGAAAGTACAATACGAAAACTTTCTTTTAAAGGTTTCTCGACACAAGTATAAGTAATAGTTCTTTTCTAGAAACTTTTCATTCAAACAATTTCATTAAAAAATAAATAAAATTTAAAAATTTTTTTATCTGGAGTTTAAATTCAATATTTTTTTACAAATTTTACTTTTTTCTCGAATTTGGCTTTAGGGGTCCTATGCGTTGCGGCTCCTTTAAAATGTCTGGCCTTCTCTCGTTCATTTTACCTTATTGCAAACCTAGTTATGGTATAGCAATAAAATATCCGCGAAGATAAATTTTATTTAAAATATTTATATACAGAAAAAATTCGCCCAACTGTCTCTTGTGAGCTAGAGGGTCATCGATATTAAGACTCCACGATTTATGACTAACGAGGAGTGATGGTGAAAATAAAATCAGCATTGTGCACCAACCGCCTTTATTTCCTAGACAGGCTGGTACTCGCTCTAAAGCTGGGAGGATTCAAAACCTAGACTCGCAGCTTTTTTCATCATATCTTTGGAGTGAATTTAGGAACATTTTGTTCACAGAACTCGATATATAGTGTGCAAAATATGAGACAGATCACCCTGAATAGATTTTGATCTAATGATTGCGTTTTATAACTCAATCTTAATTTTTCGAAGGGGTAATCTCATTAATTAGTGCAGCCGATTATTTAAGTTACGAAATTAAACACAAAAATGTNAGTTAAGAAAAAAACAACAATACATTTGAATAAAGGAAGGGGTACTGTGGATTTATTTCTTAGTTTTGTCGTTTAGATTGTTAAATCGATGTAACCTAATATCGTGATATAAAAGGGTTGATTATATCGATTTAAGAAATTTCTATATCGCCCAGCCCTACTAGGAAACACCTTATCGGATAAGGCACTCCAGTGCTGGCAGCTCATCAGTCTTCTAGTACTAAAGAGTAAAAGTGTTATCATCCAGTGGATTCCTAGCCATTGTGGCATTTATGGGAAGGAGCGGTCGGACTTCCTTTCTCAGAAGGGCACTCAGTTAATGCAACCAAATTGCTCTGGACTGTCCTACCACTCCATAAAACTATATTTTAAATACATAAGGAAAATAAATACCTCTTCTTGGCTACCAGATAGCATTCAGAATAAGAACTGGAATAAGGTAGATTTGGAGCAACCAGACAAGCCTCGCCGATATGCTGTAGCCCTCTTTCGTCTCCTAACAACTGCCTGGGAGAACACTTGTATCGCTTACATATTAAAATGACTCTGATTGTTGTCTATGTGATTCTAAAGAACCTATGAACCGAATTGCTGTAGGTCACTTCACGGACTTGACTCTGAGACTGCAAAAAATATTGGCGTGCGAGAGAGCTTCTGAGGAAATGTCTTTCTTTTACTTCTTGCGATTCCTTCTGATGTTTATTGTTCTTCTTTGTTGTATTTTGTCCCCGCCATTGGAAATTAAAAAAAATATTGCCCTTGATTAAAAAGAGCATCGCTTTGAATCTTTCTCATTTATTTAGTTTGAACTTAAAATTTTAGGGTAATGTTGTCATGACGTTAAGAATATACATAATCAAATTATTACTTGTTTTTAAACTGATACTATAAAGAATAAATAACATTATTTATCATATCAAATTATCATAATGATTTTTTTTCTAGAAAATTTCACAATACTGTTTCTCTTTACAGAATGATAGATTATTAAAAGAAATGTATTGAAAATTTAGTCAATACTTGAATTTTTATTATTAAGAAAAATATAAATTATTAAAATTTAAATAAGAATTAAAAAGTATGAGATTTTTGGCTGCGTTATTAGTTGTATTAATCTTAGAACATTGCAAATTTATATTCGTCAATAACCTTTACAGAAGATGCTGATTAAGATGTTTAAAGTTATTTTGTCATAAATTAAAATATGTTTTTTAACTCAGGAGTGGATTATCTTAGGATTTATTTATTGCTTTTTTTTATTTATTATATTTGGTTAATATGGTGCAGCATTATATTCAACAAAATACAAAAAATATTATATTTTTTATACTTCTTCCCGTTCTGTTCCTCCTAAGAGAAAAGTTCCTTGGAGAAACTTTTTATTGCAAATTCTGTCTCATCTCTATTAGTATTTTAAAATTTAGAAAAAAATGAGTTCAGATAAACCATGAAGCTTCAAAAGACCATGAAGCCATGAAACTGAAAAAAAATAATTTCAAAATGCAAACAAATTTTTTCACAATTTGTACACCAGAATTATAATGCCATAATTTGTTTGCATTTTGATAATTTGAAAACTTCGTGGTTTACTCTACGTTTCTTTGTACTCACTTTTGCTATACTTTAAATATTAAATAGTTTATGTTGGTGAAAGATAAATAATCATGAAGAGTTTCTCCAATGATATAGCATCCCTTTAACTGCTAAACTGAAAAATGAAATAGATATTTTGACATGATAGTATCCTTTATCATTTTAATATAGTTTACATTACTATAAATGTTGTTATTATGATAGATATTGGGTTTTTGTAGGAAATTCAGCACATCTTGGTGGTTTTGGCTGTCTTGGACAGGAGTTTTTATGGCTTGTTCAATAAGGTAAATACTTATTCTTTTGTAATTCATTGTTTTGTACTAAAGAAATAAAGTTAAAAGTACTTGAACTTTTTTTATCCACTATTTATTTGCTGCTTACTATATTTATTGTTAAAATATATTCATCTCACAATACTCATCACACACTAAATTAATCTCATATATTTCATTATTGTAGTTTTTATGAATTGGGTCATTGAATAATTTTTGTTAATAGTTAATATTATATTTTTGTTGGAAAAGTTTTTTTTTTAACAATCTTTCCTTTTATTTTATGTAACTTGGGTTGTAATTTAAATAGTTTATATAATTTTCTTTCCAATTTTCATTTGTAGTGTGAAGTTTGTTGGCTTGTTTGTGGTTCTTCTAGTTGGCATCCATACTCTTTATGATTTATGGAACATACTTGGAGATTTAAACACACCTATTGTAAGTATTATTCTTAGCAGTTTCAATTATTATAACTTTCTGTTAAAAAAAAAATTCATAAGATATTTTTGAATTAAACAATTGACAAATTCTTAAATAACATGTAATAATAATAATCAAGCTGGGATCAAAGAATATATAATGTGAAAAAAAGTCTAGTTTCTCCGATACGTAACAGGGACCAGCGAGGTCCCTCTGTATGACAAGATAAGCGCCAAAGGTGTTTGAGTCAATGCATGCGTACATCTTTCATCCATCATTGCGTTTCTAAACTTGTTTAACAAAATTTTTTTCGCCATCTTTAAAGTGACATCTTTAAGTGACCGATATCTATTTAAATTATACACCTATGTTAAAATAATAAATTATATATTTTTTTAATGAATTTGTCACAAGTAAATATTTTCCTTGTTTAATAAGTAAACCTTTTTCAAAACCATATAAGTCTGTAAAGAACAAAAGCAGATGGGGTTTGAGTCCCTTTTCATCAGCTGTTTACATGAGTGAGGAGAGGAATAGGGCTGCTTACGGAGTAAGAACGGAAGGACCCTCTGTAAGGAGGCAGGTTGTTTTCTTAGCAATACTTCTACACCTCGATGGAGGTACCTGTTGCTTCCGGAACAGGTTGACGTGGGGGCCTATGAGAGCTGGTCTTCTTCTCACTTATATATTCTATGCTGGGATGTTGATGACCCCTGTGGCAGTATTCATTTTGCCTTTCTTCAACAAACGTCACTTGCACTTCAATCTTTCTTCAAGATATTTTTAATAGTAATAAATATATATGTAAAGAATATATAATAAAGAAAATACCTCATATTTATAAAAAGCCTACATTTATAGACTAAAACTGTATGTATATTATAAATTTTATTTCTTACTTCAAAAATTTTTATTGAGAATAATAAATTATTCATCAGGTAAAAATAAATATAAAATTTGAGCATTACATAATTTAAATTTAAAATATTTTTTCTGATTAGTTGAAGCATTATAAACAGTTGGCTTTTTTATTGCCTTTGTTTGCTAGTTTTGAAGTTAAACATTTTCAGAATCTTATTCAAATGGAAATTCAAAAAGTGTAGAACATAATGGCAGACTAGAGTTGAATGTCACATTGGGTCAAAATAAAAAACAATTCCTTTTTCATAAAAGAAAAATTTTAGTGCAAGAACTCTATGATATCCTGCGTCTATGTCGCGTGTTGCTGCGATTCTGTCACTAGGTTGATGATTCAAAATTTCTTTAAAAATACAAAATTACAGGCTAAATTACAAAAAGGGCTCTGTAATGTTTTAAAAATGTTTTTAAAATAAAAATATTGCCCTTAGAAGTATTATAAAATGTGTTTTACATTAACTTTTTATTAGAGAAATATATAAATTCTATTTTTTATTTACAAATTAAATAAATACTATAAGGTAAAAAAAAATAGTATATGAACAAAATAAAATGTTAATAAATGTCTTATGAAGATAACTGAGAATTTATAAATCTTTAGTTACAATCTTTAAGAACATCAGAAGAATTGCCTGTTGTTAAAATCCAAATTATTATTATATTTTGAAAAACTTCATCATCACTTCTTGTTGAAAGATATTTAAAATAAGGCGCAATGCAAAATTTTTACATATTTTTGAAGAAAAAACTTAATTCACAAGCAAAATACTCTTAAAAAGAAAATATTTAGAAAAATTTGTAAAATAAATTTAAAAATGAATGAAAAAAATTATAACAGAAAAAAACCCCATGGATAATGGAAAAAACAACCCAAAATGAATTTTTTTTGTTGCTGAAATTTATTAATGTTTATAAATGCAATAACTTATAATCAGTTTACTGTAAGTAAAGTCTGGCATTCAAAAAGTTAATTAGTATTTAGTAAAAAAATCTGAAATATTTTCTTACTCGGTAAAAAACAAGCATAGTTATTTTATTCTTGGGTGTATGTTGGGATTTTTGTCTTATATGTTGGATGCTTTTGTTTGTTTTAGATTATTAATTTCATCTGGTTATCTTTAAATGCTTTTGCTGCTATTAGTTTTTCACCTCATAAATTATGTTTGTGTTGTGTTTTATATAAAATGCTTACATTTTAATTTAGACTCAAGTGATTAAACATTTCACTGCACGAGCAGTCTGTCTCATTTTGCTCCCTGCCATTTTGTATGTCACCTTCTTTTATATTCACTTAAAGACACTATACAAAAGGTATGTTGACTTTTCATCATTGACATTTAACCTATTAACCCTCCAAGCATTGAGCTTGGAGGGTTAATAGGTAATTTTACTGAACTTGATCTGTTATGGGGCAAAACTAATAATTGGCTCTGGTTAACTAACTATGACATTTATTTTTACTATGATTATTAACTATGACAAATGGCCATTCAAAAATTGTTTCCTGATTACCACCTGGTCAAATTTTTTTTCATCAAAAATGCATCCTCATACATTTTATTATTATTTTTTTAAATAAATATGTAAGTGTTTTATTATTCTGAATATGGCTTCATATCAACAGGTTTCTTAAAATTTTTCTTAAATTTTGAAATGAACTTTATAGAACTTACTATATTTTGAAAAAAATTTCAAAATTCGTTAATAATACAAAAAATTTTTTAATCCCCTAAACAGTTTAAGTTCTTAAAAATTAATCAATAATTTAAAATTGTGTCAACTGTTATAAATAGTGTTGACTGTTATAAATATATGGAATGTAGGAGAGCCAACAGCTTAAAATTAAGAAAAAGCTGGGACTATCACTCAGAGGGTGTTAATGTTTGATTGCATTTTTATATGCAGAATATTTTTCAGAGATAAGTGTTAATTAATGTTTAAAATTTATTTGAATATAGTTGAATAAATAAATGCTGAACTTTCAAGCTATTTGCTACTTTTTAAGGTGTGAAAATACTAAAAACTATAATGTTTAAAAAAAAAAAAATCTCATATTTTGTGCATTTATTTTCTACCAATATGATTAACAGGAATTTTTATTTTGTTGTAAATTTTGAATTTCAAAAAAATTAATAAAAATCCGAAAAAAAAAGGATATAATCTTTTTATCAGCTCACACGCTTATATCCGCAAAAAGGAGTGTTTTCTATTGTATCAATATAGCCAAAGCAAAATATATCAATGGAATAGTTTGAGAAGCACTCAAAAAAAGTTTTGAAACAAAATAGGGTAGAACACATAGAGTAATAAATATCACGTAAAAAACAGAAAATAAAACGTGAAGGAAAAACAGAAAGAAATGTAAAACAAAATCTATAAAGTGAGTTCAAATAAACTTACATGAACGGGAAAATTTTCCAGAATGATTAAAAATATTTTCGTAATAAGGTGATCGCCATAAAAAGATATGAAATTGAGGTAATAAATGGATTTTGTTTTATAGCGTGTTTGATTTGTTAGTTACCAAAGATTGACCCAAAAATCGATGTGCACCAGGTAATATTATACTGGATAATTTGAAGAAGTTTATGATTAATAAGGTTGATATTTAATTATACAATTTTAATGATTCTAAAAAATTAACTTTTATTTAAGAAAAGAGAGAGAAAGAGAAATAAACATTAATTACCTATTTTGCATATATTTTTAGCCACGGATTTGCCGAAATGGATTTGTACATGTAAAAAATTACCAAAGAAGCTTTTTAGTTAGTAAATTTGTTTACAATAAAATACAATTAACTGAATGAATTTATATAGAATTTAATTACTTTAGTTGGGTNAAAATTATCCGTTTGAAAACATCGCCTATCAGAATAACATGTAGTAAGCAGCTGCAAACTTTTTAACCGGAACTAGAGTAGGTCCCGAGATTATATATATATATATATATGAAATAACGGCGGAACCATACCGTTATTTTTTTGTAATTTAAGAGTCAAAGCAGCATGATTAACGAGTCCATATTGTGCATAATCTTTTATTTTACTAAACGATGGTGAAATAGTAGTTTCACCCCTCTCCAGACGGAGAGGGAGAGACAGAGTTACAGTCATATCTGACGAAGTTTAATTGGTAAACATTATACACCAAAAAGTCACGCTAAAACATTGCTCCTCTATTTTATACGATAATTAAACTGTGTGAAGAGGTTAGTCATATTGCCTTCCTTATGTATTCTTACGCCTCATCAAATTATTTATTACTCATAGCAAATCGTTTAATCTTTCCTTATATGGAAGTGAAAGATCTTAAAATAACTTCTCTTTTGAAGTATAAATCTAATTATTATTCATTGGCATGTTTTTAGCCTTGAAGTCCCAAAATAGAATTTCTACCCTTATCCTTTACCTAAGATATTTTATGAAAACGAATGAAGTTTTAATGCTTTTATTAATACAAAAGTATTTAATTTTTGTATTACATATATATATATACCACTTTTTTAAGTAAAAAGCGCAAGCAAAATGTGATATGACTTTGTATCATGTATATTACCATTTTAAAGCAATTTTAATTCCTTCTAAAATATTTACCTCATTTGACATTTTTACATCTAAATGTTTTTGTACCCCAATAATTGATGAAGCTGTATGTTAAACATAATGTTTAGATTGAAAGAGAAGGATGTCTGATGCTTTATATGTTACTTTATACAAAAAAAAAAAAATGTTATTAGAATAAGAAAATTTATTTTCTAAATTATCGGTGGTAACTTAAAACATGCCTTTAAATTTAAATCACCTTCCCTATTTCAGTATTTTGAAAATTGAAAAATATGTATTAGCTATACCAATAATTGAAAAAAAAGATTACTGGGCAAAAGTCCTATTCAATTTTTTTTTTATTTACTGTCAATTATTCATTTTATGTAAAGTTTTTTTTTACATAAAAATAAGTTTTCAACATTAATTTCAGTGGCTCTGGTGATGGATTTTTCAGCTCAGCATTTCAATCCCAGTTAGAAGGAAATTCACTTTATCACGCTCATATGCCAAAAGGTAATAGTACTATTATGCATATTTGATTGAACTTAGTTGCATTTTAATAAAGATATAACTAAAAACACTAAAATTAATTTCTCCCAACTTTTGCAATTTTATTTTGCAGGATGCAAGAAACAAAATTGCAATTCTTTAATTGCTTAAACATAGTGATAAAAATGTATTGTTTTATAAAACACTATAATTTCTGAATAGATTAATAAGTAAGGGATGAGATTCTTCCGCGGATACGCGGATTTCCGTTTTTTTTTTTTAGATTTTTCCATTTTCCCCGCGAATTTCCGCGCAAATTTTTTTTGAACAAGTTAAAATATTTTATGAGGAATTTAATTTTCCGCGGAGCGAAAGCATGGAAGTCCTCTGAAGTTTCTCAAAAAATCATTTCCTTGGGATAAAACTGGTTGACCTTTATACAGGGAGGAGATTTTTTCGCTTTTGCCTTTCGAATTTCAACCTTTTTATCAAAAACTCGGATTCTCTAAAAGTTTCGTTTTTTTTTTAAAAATAAATATCCCGTTTTTTTTTCTTCTTTAAATTCAATTATTAAAATAAAATAATATTTATTTACGATTTTCAAAGATAAACAGAAAATTCAAACTACATCCTAGCAGCTAACCCTTCTGTATTTTTACTTATTTCAGCTATTTTCTCTTCACAGAAAATAAGATTTTCCGTATTTTTATTCGTCCGCCGGATAGCTCGTATTTTTGCAATTCAGACGTCGTGACCCTGTTGTCTGGCTTGAAAGCAAACGAGAAAAAAAATAATAATAAGTAAAATAATGGAGGTGGATTTGCGATGAAAATATTTATTTGCTCATTCAATTAATCTTTTATTTATTATGTCGAAACAAAAACAGTACAAAGAAGCCTTTTAGAAATCCCATGTCCAGTCTCTTGCGATTTTAATACCTATCATCGAATTTCATATTTACCTCATTTAAAAGTTTCGCAATGCGATTCTTATTTACGCTATTTAAACATCGTACATTATGATTCTTAGTTACGAGATTTAAAAATCCAATATCGCGCTTTGTATTTATGCATTTTTAAAATCGCGATTTTATTGTCAAACATCGATTTTCGTATTTCCCTGATTTAAACGTTGAACGTTGCGAGTGTTATTCAGGCGATTTAAATATCGTACATTGCGATTCTTATTTCCGAGATTTAAAAATCCAATATAACGATTTGTATTTACGCGCTTTTAAAACCCTATGTAGCGATTCATATTCACGCTAGCTTAAAATCCTATGTCGTGATTCGTTTTTGCGGTTGTAATATCAAGCATCGATTTTCGTATTTATACCTGCTTTAAAAATTAGACATTGTGATTTATATTTGCGCGATTTGAAAATTATGCATCGTGATTCGTGTTTACGTGCTCTAAAAATTACGCATCATGATTTGTATTTCTGCATTTTTTAAAATTCGATATAAAGTTTCATATTTACATGATTTGAAAGCCTCATATCGAGACTCATATTCTCTCAATTAAAGCATGTGATTAATATTTGTATATTCATACAATTTTAAAATTAATCATCAGGATTTATAAACACATGGTTTACAAGTTTAAAGGTTTACACTTTTTTGTCAAATTTTTGTGTATATACATACACACACACACACACACATATATATATATATACACGGATATATATATAANTATTTATATATATATATATATATTCATTCTTGGATTTCCTCTTTCTTACTTTCTAACTACTCTCATCCCTGATAAGTGTACTTTTGCACTGTTTTTGATGTATTTGACTATAGATTAAACTGTTACCTCATACTGTTTACTCATTATGAAATACTTACTATCAAAAATACTATCATTTTAAATTTACATTGCTTGTTATGTTTCTGTTGATAGTTGTAATCATATGAAATATTATTATTCATTTTCTTATATTTAAGCAAAAGGGTAAAGGTTCAGTATTGACTGAATTTAAACGTATTTATAATAAATATTTACTGTAGGAAAATTGGAATAGTTTTCATTTTAAGGTGTAAAAATAAGAACTTAGAACATGAACTTTTTATTTATCTTCTTTTTAAAAAATGCAACTTTTTTTTTAAAAAAAAATTTATTTTTCGAAAATAGTAATGAAATTTTTTTTTCCTGTCCTACAGTATTTTACTAAGCAATTACATGTGTTAACAAAATTTTGAGATCAGTAACATAACTTTATGTTGGATAATATTTAAAAAAAAATTATATTACTTAAAGAATTTGTTTAGTTTTCTATAATGTTAGTTTACATGAATAATTGTAATAGTATCTAATTATAAAATATTGGCAATTATCTACAAATGCTAAATTTTTTGAATACAATACTTGTTTTAGTTTATTTATCTTTTATTTATTATTTTATTTTAATTTTACTTAATCTTTGTGTTGTAGAATTTCTTAAACTTAATTATCTCTACTTAAAGAGTAACTAGCCATATTTAATAAAAAATGTACATAAAAATATAAGCAGAATTTTTTTTTTTTTTTTTTTTTTTTTTTTTTTAGCTGTGAGTTATTCTTAGAAGTCAATTGCAAAATTAAACAGAAAGAATTGATTTTCATCAATATAAAAGTGAACAAATTAAACACAAATTAAAATAACAAATTCAAACTATCTATATTATGTTGTATTTGAGTTTATGTGATATTTGACTACTATATGTGTTTTTAGTTGAATTTCGTTTGCAAAATTAACACTTTATACTTGTGCAGTATTCACTTTTTTTTTGCATAAATCTAAAGTTTGTTATCTTGTTCTTTACCTTCAAATTCTGATGCCACTCTTAATTTGTCTGTTTTCTTTCTTCATAAAAATTTTTAAGATAGTTTTAAATCTGGTTGCCTAGAATCTGCAATTTTTTTTTACAGTTTTTTTAAATTAAAAAGTTAAATTAATACAAATTTAATGTATATCTTATTTATTTTTAACTAACAAATGTATTCAGGGTTTCCAAATTTCTATGTTTTTGGGGAGAAATTTTTCCTAGTACTAGCTAATTTTATGTTTTAAAGTTTGATTCTTTTTTTTTATAACTTTTTAAATTTCTTTTTCACACCGCTACATTTTCTACACCACTACCATAAAAGTTTATATTAATCACCATTTTGTTCCAAGTCTCTCTTATTGATGGATCTTAAAATGTTGGAAAAATTACAAATAATTCTGAAAACTTTAGTTTTTAATTGTCTACCACTCTACAAAATATAGTAGTTGGAAGCCCTGTGTATTTATTTTATTTTTATTTTGATAATTGGAATAGCATTATCAGTTACCTCTTATTGCACTTCCATGGGAAAAAAACTTTTGGTTTATTTTATTTAGAATAATATCTTGCTGGGAATGATTATTAATACTTTTCATGTTAAAATATCAATCTTTTTTTAAAATTTTTATTAAGGACTTTCAAATTTTTTGTTTACAGATGTAGCCTATGGAGCAATTGTCACTCTAAAAAATCATAGAACAGGTGGTGGCTATCTTCATTCTCATTGGCATCTTTATCCTGAAAGCGTTGGAGCAAGGCAGCAACAAGTATGTTATTTCTATACTTACAGTTTATGTGCTAGAATACTGCAAATAAGGAAACTTTTCTATTATATTTCTCTTGTTCCGGTAGGAAATGAAGATTTAACACCCTATATAAAACATAAAATACCATACATAAAATATAAACATACATAAAAACTCTAATGGATATACTATCTCATGAATATCTGGATATGTTGGGTCCAAAAATTTACAAATGGTTAACGAAAAACCTGGATAATTTGACAATTTTTAAAAATTGGCATAGTAATGTTTATTTGGTAATCAAAATCTATTGCAGGCTGTAGCACCTGAGTCTTTTTTATTGGCATTTTAACATTAAATAAGTGTATTTGCTTATATCACGATTGCAATTGTCTCTATAGCAGAATATTATTGTATTGTAATAAAAATAAACCCAGGTAAATGTGTTAAGTATTGTTATTCTCCAAATTAGGTGACTGCTTATTCTCACAAAGATGAAAACAACAAGTGGTTAATTAAGAAGTATGACTCTGAACCAGTTCCTATCACCAAGAATTCTCCAATAGAACTAGTCTCCAATGGTGACTTGATACGCTTTGAACACGTTATGTAAGTTGCTTGCTTTTCGATGTTTGCACTAAAATCCTCAATATTGCAATTAATGCTTTTGTTTTGTATAGTATGTTGAAGTGTCTTGCTGGCTGTAAGTAGAAAGATACTCTCTCACCTCTTATATAATGTATATTAAACCAATCTTTTCATATTGTTTCTTCATAACTGATTCTACTACTATGAAACCTACAGGAAGAACCACCTCTGTGTAGCGTCCTCCTGTATATATGACTATTTTTGGGAGGCACAGAATTTTTTTCCTTAAATTTACTATTGAAGAAAACTTATAGGAGAGAACATCAAAACCTTCCCCAGTGAGCAGGAAAACCCTGTCACCAAATGCAGAAAATGTTAAATAAGAAAGCACAAGAAAATATCAAAATAAAAAAATATTAACAAAACAAATAAGTAGATTTAAATCTATTGTAAATATTTGGGAGTAACTCTTATTTAAAGAGCTCTTTTTGAGGATTTCTGAAAAAGATTGACAACCTCATGTTACAGTCAGAGCGCAGTAAGACGATGCTATCAATGATTTAGCTTTAGAGCTGAAAATTAAATTTGAGAAAAAAATTATTTTAGAAAAAAACTAAGCATCTCAAACAAACAAGCCTTATTCACCATTTTATTTTTTTTTCATAAACTAATTTTCATGATGTGAAATTAAATGTGAGCTAAAAAGACATAATTGCTTATTTATTAAAAATAGTTCTATCATTCATAATTGGTAATTTTGTTTTTGCTCATAATTAGTTCAGTAAGGGTGATTTTTATTGAAGGTGAATTTTATTCATTGATCCGATTTTCATAACGCCAACACAAGTGTTCCCGAGAGGTTTCACTGTATTTGTAAATTTTAAAAACTCAAAATCAAACTATGTATTTAATCACTGGGGCAGTTAAGTCCACCCTATTGTAGCCATGTGGTTAGTGACAAAATTTCACTTAGTAAACATGAAATTCACAGAAATCCTGGAATCCTATTGCAAAAATTTGGCTCTCAAGCAACTTCTATATTGGAGGCATTATGATTACAAGTTGAGAAACCTTTAAGTGCAACATTTCTTGAACAGAAAACGTTTATATTATCTGCGAAGTAGAGTTACTAGTTGGTTTTAGGTGCCCCTTGATTTTGTGATCCTATGGCAGATTTTTTTTTCTCCGGCTTTCTATGCACCAGGGCTGCCATGAGTCAAGAAGAACAGGGAAAACCTGGAATTGTCTGGGAATTTTAAGTCTAAAAAGCTGCGAAGAGTTAGGGAAAGTTGCAATTTTTTGCAAAATACTTGGAAAATTCCTATATTATACCTGGAAAATAACTAATTTTAGAATTGTCACTAACAGTAATCAGTTATTGAGATTCGAGTTAAATAATTCTAACATCTACTACAATTATTTTATAAAATTCTGCTTTTTAGTTCAACTTATCCATATTTCCTTTCTCATTCTATTATACGTTTTTGCTCACAAAATCTAATACAACAAAAAAAACCATTTTTTTTTGAAAAATTGCATGGTGTAGATAAAATATGGTGCAGATTTTCATTGAAATTTACCTAATATACCTAGTAAAGTCAGGGAGTTTTAGCACTATATGTTACTGTTAAAAATATATTGCTCAGTGTTCGAGAGAATTCTGTGGTCAATTTCCCTAGTACTTCATCAAAATATTTTTAATAGTAACAAAAACATATGTTAATAAATTAAAGTAACAGAAGAGATTTGTGTTTGCAAAAATAAAAAATATATAAGTAAAAAAAAGCCTACATGCATAGAATAAAACTATTGTTCACATGCAATTACATCACTATTGAGATTCGTTACAGAAAGAAAAAGTCCAATATGCTTCCTAAATTTAAAAAAAAAAGAAGCTTATAGGTCCAGAACTGTTTTTTAACATGCCTACATAAATATAAATTTGTAAAATTTAATTAGTATTAAATATATGTTGTTTGCGTGGTTTGGGCATACGATTCAAGATAAAAATTATAAAAAATATCTTTTTCCATTAAAATCTCATATTTTAAAGTAAATAGTCCAGATACTTTTGATTAAATGTAAAAATGTTAATCAAAAAGATCTAAAATAAAAAAGAAAGGGTGGAAATAAATATGCTAATAAAATTATTTAGAATAGTTTTTAAGCAAAATGGGAGGAATGTTGCAAAGGCAACAATAGAATGAAAATAAGGAAACATAAGTAAAAAGAAAAACGCGATAACTTCAGATGATTTTATAGTTATTATTTATCAAAAATTAGCTTTGATAATCTTAGTGTTGAGCAGTGACTTGCATTCCGATAAAAATTTGTTATTGTTACAACACTTCTTCTAAGTTAATAAAAAATAGTTGATCAATTCAAATCTCTGGTATAAAACTGTTAGTTTGTTTAGATACCAAAACATTTTGCAAAAAATCCAATTATTCAAATTTAATGAAAATACAAATAAATAACAATATTTTATCATTAAAAAATTTAAATATTTTTTTAGGCTTTTTGAATATTTTCGCACTACAAAATGGTGTTTTATAAATACATAATTAGTTATATTTCTAACAGTTAATGCTTTTTTATTTATTTATTTTCTCAGAACTAGAAGAAATTTACACAGTCACAAAGAAGCAGCTCCTATTACTAAGCGTCACCAACAAGTCACATGTTACGGTGAGGTGTGTCAAACAATATTTCTATTCCTTTTCTTTTCCTTCATATTATAACTTGTTTACTTTGTTAACATTGCTTTATTAACTTATAAATTTGCTTTTTGTTAATGTTTGTTTAATATAGAAATTAAGTATTCAAAAAAAAAAATTTGTTGCTTTCAACATTTTTGTTCAATATATTATAATTTCAAAGAGAGAAAGTCATTTAATGTTGTTACAAGTAATTATTTTTATTTTTTTAATTCATGCATTATTGGTCTTTAAATTTGAGAGTATTTTTTGCAGTCTGTGAAATTGTTAAATTTAAGTTTAAAGGAAAAACAAGTAAGAGTTTTTGAAATAATTATGAGAAATTATTCTGCTGTATATTTGTTGTTACGCACACAGTTTATGGTATCTTCTTGTAGTGTAGGAATAATAGTAAGTAATATCCTTTTATACTGACAGATGCCGGTCGGCGATATTTAATTACATAGGCTATGGTTCAATGTAATAATGCTAGAGATTGAAAGCGATCTGATTGATAGCAGCCGACTATTAGGTCGCATTCTAATTTGTTTAATATGTTATTAGTTATAAAAGTGTTGTTATAAAATATGTTGAATGGATAACATAACTAATTCACATTAACCTGCATTCCACCATAAAAGAAATAAAAAACATCACATTTCTCAAAAGCTTTCTTTGGAAACAACTATAATAATTAGTTTTAGGTTCAAAATTGAGAAAATAATAACCAACACATAGACTAGTTGTTGTTCATTAATTGTTTTTAAATGACATTGAAAGTTAATAAATATTTCTGCTTTATATCTGCGTATAGGGCTGTAAATTTTTCATTACCTGTACATAATATGCAAAGTTAAAGAGAAGAAGTTAAGACTTTATCCTATAATTTGTATTTTTACTTCTATGTAGAAGATTAGTTGTAAAATCTGTTATTGTGTTTATATTTTAGTGACTATTAATAGGGCAAAAAATTCAGTACTTGATCCCATTGTTCATATTTTACTGACTGGTAAGGAAGAAAAGGTCAGTTGTAGTTGGTTACTGTTATTTTTTATGTTTTGATGGCTAACAGGAAAGATAAAAAATCAGTTAGGAATTTTGTTATTTATATTTTGATGAGTAATAGGAAAGAAATATTCAAATTGAATCATTAGGTTTATATTTTGATGATTACCTAATAAGGAAGAAAATTCCAGTTGTGAATCCTGTTGCAGGTGTCTTTCGGGAGAAACATTTTTCTAGTTATAGCAAAAATTTTAGTATGCTTTTATGAATAAGTTTTGAATTAGTAAATTTGATTTAAAATTATTTTCCCACCACTATAAAATAATTCAAAATTTCATATAAAATACAGTTTTTCTTCATTAATTTATGATAATCCTTTTAAAGTATTGGCAAAATTTTGTAAGTTTTGATTATAAATTCTATGCCATTTTATATTATCTTTTGCAGAAAAAGAGCAGCCAGCTTCCCTGTGGTTATTTATATATTTGGTGACAGATAAGGGAGAAAAACTTGTTTGTGAATCCTTTTATTTATGTTTTGATGACTAATAGGGAGGTGCTAATTCTTTTGGGGATCCTGTTACTTATACTTTGTGTTTCTTTCAGAATGGTACAGGTGATGCAAATGATGTGTGGAAAATTGAAATTGTGGGAGAGGACAAGAGAGTCCCCGTCACAACTGTAACCAGCAAATTAAGAATCACTCATTATTTGACTGGATGCGCTTTACATTCTCATTCTAAACAACTCCCAAAATGGTGACTATAAGTTACATTATTCTTGTTTTTTAATTAATTAATTTTTTTTTGATATTATTTTTTAAAAACATATTTCCTAGTTTCTAGTACTTTAATGGTGTAATATTCATCTAAATTTTTATTTTTCAAGTCTCACATAAAATTATGCTAATAATAAAAGGTTAAAGGGATTTATTTATAGACTATGTCAGCCTTCATCTATCAAAAGGTATCTCAAGATAGAATTGAGTTAACATGTCTTACATACTAGCGATTTGGTATTTAATATTTGTAGTGATAGTTAGTTATGCCACATTACTCCCCTTCCAGAATTTTATCTGTGATAGAATTCGATTAAAGGATACCACTAGTTGATTCATGCTATTTTTTTAATTTTATTTATGTCATATTTTGCTCATTATATGTTTACTTCATAGCATTTCACTCATTATTTTTTCCTTCATTTTTGTACAGATAACAGCATTTTGTTGTTGTTGTTATAATTCTTAATTTTTGTTTAATGACCTGGGGACTTTATTTACTTCACCGGATTTTTTATTTATTATTTATTTTTTTTTAACAGTTTATTTTTGCGCAGATTAACTGCTTAAAGTGGGATGTTCATATCACGTTCGCAGATCACCATTGAGGGGAATTAATTATCGACTATGTCAACCTTCTTCTATCAAAAGGTACCTCTTGGTAGAATAAAGTTAACGTGTCTTATATTAGTGAATTGGTATTTAATATATATAGTGGTAGTTACGCCACAAGGTAATCAAATAATTATTACAAAAGTAAAAATTCAAGTAATTAAATATTTTTAAAAATTTTAATGTAGACATATATGGGGAGAGTAAAACTGTTGCATTGAGTAGATATTATTTTTTTAGAATTTGCAATTTGTTGTGCATTCATAAATGATGCCATTGAAATTACTTTAGAATGTCATGTTTTATGGAGAACTAAATGATAAAAAAGGAAATTTTAAAAAAAATGATAAATTTTTTATTGCAGTTTTCTTTCAAAGATGTTTTAAATGTTTTTCTTATTACTGCCAAACAAACTTTTAAACTTCTGTTTTAGAATGGAAAACAGTCTCCATCACTATTTGTTTTGTCGGCACATGGCAATTGGTGACCGCAAACTTCGCCCTTCAATTACTACTCAAAATTGAAATTTGCTAAGTTGAACTTAATATTAATAATTAGTCATATCCTCTTTAATTTTATATATAAATTAATACATTAATATCAATTATGCAATTCATTAAATAATTATTAGAAATACTTTTAAGCTCAATGTCTTTTCTGTTTCTATATATAGGGGATATGAACAAATGGAAGTGACCTGTAATCCAAACATCCGTGACTCTACCAATTTGTGGAATATTGAAGATAACTATTTCCCAAAATGTAAGCAACAATTATTATTTCTTCTATTTACTTATCATTACATTTTTGTTTGCAGCATCTATAAAAAATTATTAATCTTCAAAGTTGCTTTGAAGATTATATGACTGATTATTTTGTCAATTTATGTCCATGCATATTTTGTAGCATAACACTTGGTCTGCAGAGATTAATTAGAATTTTAAAAGTTAGACTCTGAAATTATTAAGATGACATATTAGTACATTGAAATCTGTTAATAGGATTAAAAGTAGTTAAGGGTGTTTCAATTTTTATTTTTGCATGGTGCACATTGGTTTTATATATTTTACTTGCAAATTTTATTAGTGTGTCAAAAGTAGAAATTTTTTATGAACTTTTTCTTTTTTGGTTTGTGTTTAGGTAAATATTCTGATTTTTTTAATTCTTGTTAATATCAATATTTTTTAGATACGCTTTGCAGGAATAGGTATTTTATTATACCAATATTATTGTTCATTCCTTATGTGTGTATCATTTCTTTTTAGTACCGAATGTAAGTTTTGAAGTTTATGCTCCATCATTTGTTGAGAAATTTTTGGAGTCTCATGCTGTTATGTTTCAAGTAATTATTTGTTGCTTCCATCTTCTTTTACATCATTGCCATTATTTTTAATAAAAACATGCATAACAATAATTTAATTTTCTTTCAGGGAAATTCTGGGTTGAAACCTAAAGAAGGGGAAATTACATCCAGACCCTGGCAGTGGCCAATCAACATCAGGGTATAATTATGTTATTCATAAATTTTCTTATGATTTTGTATTTAATAAAATTTCCTATTGTGATATCATATTCAGTTTATTTTTATTGCACACACGCTGTTCATCTATTAATAATATTCAAGTTAACTTGTAAGAACTGCATAGTAACAGTTATATGGTTATTATTGCACTAGTTACAATTTAGCAAAAAATATAACTATATATTTCAACCATATAATAGTGATGCCACCTCATATGTTTATCATACGTCATATGTGCTACAAAATTTGATTTCAAGAGAAAAAGGATTGTTTTAATCTTGTTTTTTTTTTTTTTTTTTTGATTATCCTGTAAACATATATGATCAAATCTGGTCAAAAATTATAATTTTATAAGCACTATGCTGCTCCGAATATAAAAATTATTGACTCCCAAAATCAAGTTTACTTGCTCCAAAAAAAAAAAATTCTGCTTCAAAATGGTTAAATTGCTGTTTCATCTCTGTATTTTTTTATCAACTTAAGTGGGGAGAGAATTTCTCTTCAATCTATTGGTGGTCATGTATTCTTTTATAACTGGAGTATAACAGCCGACCCATATTTGGGTTTGCAATCAGTGTGCAACTTCATTGCCTTGTAATTTTTAGAGCTTATGTTAGTAGGGTAACATGCCGACAATTGTTGCCAAATGTTCCACAAATGTCACATAAATCATCATACACATGGGTGACAAATTTGTCGCCTTGAAATATGTTTAGAATTTACCAAATGATAATCGCACCTCGTTTGAAACATTTAAAACAAAATTTTTTGTACTAATTTTATTTTTCTATGCTTGGTATCAAATTCAAATGGAATAACTAAAAATGTCTGGTACGGAAAATTTTAAATTTAAATATTAAAATTTCAACTTTACATGTGTTGTGGTTTGCATTTTTTATTTTAGTTATTTCATATTAAATAATTACATTTTAATTTGTAATTAAACTGATTTGATATAAATAAAAATATGTTTTGGTCACATTTGATTAATTTAAGGGCTTGTAAAATTTTTCTTGAGTCTGATAAAAAAAAAAATTCTTTTTAATTTGATTTCAATCTATTTTCATTGCAATTAAATGATTATTTTCTTTAGAAAATTGTGTAATATTCATTTTGTTTTCAGGGTCAGTTTTTCTCTGGGCAACAACTTAAGATCTACTTGCTAGGTAACCCTGTGATTTGGTGGGGAAACTTGCTTCTTCTTGCAATATTTTTATTTCTGCAACTTGTGCTTGCTGTGAGGGATCAAAGGGGGTTGAAACAGAGTCCTTCAGTCAAAGGTATGTTTTATTTATCTAACAGCTTTTGTAGCAAATGTTTTACTGAACACACTTAAGGAGCTGTTGAAACAGCTAAAGCAGCTAATGGAAAACAAACTTTATTAAGAAGAAAACTATGAATATTAATGAAGCTGAATATTAATAATGTTAGAAATAAACACCTTAAATAGACTTTGTTTCTCTTTAAATTATAAATACTTTTGTTAAAAAATCTACTCAATTCCCTTCCTTCTTTAATAATTTTTTTCTTCTTTTTATTAAATTGGATGGACTTTCATTTTTTTTATTTGAAATTTTATGTATATTTTAAATATTTTAATTAATATTCAAATATCTGAACTAATAATTTTTCACATCAAATTAAAAAACGAGAGAAAGATATGCCTTTCTTCATCTTTTTCTTCAGCATGACAGCCCCTTACAGACCTTGGCTGCCTCAACCACACGTAGCCTCCAACGCTTCCTGTCCATGGCGACTTTTTTCCAGTTGTTTATCTTTAATACTTTTAGATCTTTAGCAGTGTCATCCAGCCATATAGTTGGAGGTCTTCCTCTAGCCCGAGGTCCCGAAGGATTTTTAAGGGTGGCGATTCGGACTGCATTATTTTTTGGACCTCTCCAGATATGGCCAAGCCATCTTAATCTATGGCTTCGGATGACCTGCACTATCTGTGGCTGTCCATAGAGTCTATATAATTCAAAGTTGTATCTGATTCGCAAATATGCCTTTATTAATGAAAAAGATTAGCTGCTCACTTTTTCCTTTTTAATGTATAAATATTTTAGTAGTGACATTTATTTTATCTAACTCAACATTATTTATTTGTCATTAATATATTGTTATTTATTTTTTTGATCTTTTATCTTAAAAACCTATGATACTGGACTTCATGAAGTTCTGGTGGCTCGGGATACAGAAATTTCCACTGTATTTATATCAGTCATTTTCTATAACAGTTTTCTAGTAGTCATAACCCTCAAAATTCAGCTAAAATTTATGAGTTAATTGTATATATACAGTAGCACCATCATTCATCTGAAGTAATTGGAAATGGACTCCAAATTCAATTATTTAGAAAACCATTTTGAACTAGTTTCTATGTTGGTTTTGTATTTATATATTGATTTAAAAACATGAAAAAAAAAGAGTTCTTAAAATTGTAATACCTATAATAAATCTAAACTTATTGAGAATCTCTCCCTTCCTTAAGTGCAGCTTTGGTGCCATCTGCTGTAGACTTTTGTTACTGATGTCTAATATTTCTGTATGCAATTTTTACAGATTTCCCAATAAATCCACTGTTTGACTATTCGCTGGACACCCTGTAGATGAAAAGCATAAAAATTTCTTGTTGGTATTAAATAAAAGAATGTTTGTTATTTTATAAAATTCGTTAAAAATTAATACTCATTATTTCAGAATTGAATGATGTTTCAACAAATGCCTGCTTCTGGCTCTTTCTCGGTTGGGCATTGCATTACATTCCTTTCTTTGCGATGAGCAGAGTTTTATATTTTCATCATTATTTTCCTGCCCTTCTCTTCAATTCAATGTTATCGGGTAAGAATTTTAGCATAAAATATGCTTATTTATTTTTTTAAGATTACTTGAAAATTTTAATCATATTTTTATTTTGTTAATTTGCAAATAACAAAATATTTTATAGAAAAATTCTCAAAACATAACTCATTTTCTTATATCTGATTGTCTTATATCACGTTTTTGTATTCATTTACGAAAAATAATAATAATGTAGAAGATTTAGCACCAGGTATTTTTTGATACCTGGTCAAAAAAATAAATATCAATTTGTTCTTCAGATGTTATGTTTGTTAATTTTATTTATTTATTAAAAATTAGATCAACTGTACTATTAAATGTGTTAAAAAATAAAATTTCAAAGATGGAAAAAATGTTATCGAGTTAATTCAAAGAACAAAATGATTAAAATAATTTTTTTTGCTTGTCAGAATCTGTGAATAATTTAAAATTTTTTTTTATTTATTTATAGCTGTTGTTATCAACTATATACTCAAAGTGTCACCTGTTTTACTGCCAGAAAATATTGCAAACATTGCATATCATCTTTTGTTGGGTTTTGTCCTTGCCAGTGTTGTCTACAGGTAAGGTATAATTTCTAAAATATATACTATCTGTAAATTTGTATATCAAATGTAAAAATGAACAATAATTTCGTCAATTTTAACAATTTAAATTCATAATAACACTAAATGGCTAATTGTGAGAATAAAATTTAAATGAAGTTTTGGGAAAAGTAGTTATCGACAATGTCAACCTTCATCTACGTAAAGGTACCCCACTGTAGAAATGAGTTAACACGTCTTATATACTAGTGAATTGTAATTGTAATTTTGGTAGTGGTAGATATTCTATAGTAGTTAAATTTGTTTGTTATGAGTATTGAAATTTAAGCGGCACTAAATGTTACATTCATTATTTTTATAGCCAGAGTTTTGTCAAATAAACAAATCCCTACAAATTGGATAAAAACGAATCTTTAATAGTTAGTTTTAAAGACAATTGTTACTGCCTTCTTGTTCAGCAACACTTATTTTTAGAAATTTATTTTTATATANGACTTGCGGGACTTCTAGCTTACGGATCTGAGAACTGATATCGGGTTACAGCACAGGAACTGGCACCACAGATAGGAACTGGCACCACAGAGAACTGAGATCGGCTTTGTGTACAGGAGCTGGCACCACATATATATATATATAATGCATGATAAAAAAAATTAAAGCACAGTTACATTTGCAACCTTAGAAACATACTTAAAGTTTATAAGATTAATTCTTTAAACAGTTATAGTTACAAAAACATTGTGGAGTCAGAATCAAACATAATTTTTGGAGGATTCAGGGATATTTTCTAAACTATAAATAATTTGTTATACTGTTTGTAGCATATCAATTAGTTGTTGAATCGAAGTCAAAGATGGTTTTTTAGGAATCAGAGAAATTTGCTCTGTTTCAATTTATTATTAAATTCGTAGAAAATCTATCAGCTTGAATCAAGATTCAAAGATTATTTTGCATTAATCAAAGAAATTTTTCTTGCCTCTAATTAATTAAAAATATGATCTTAAAGTTTAAAAGTAGAAAAAAAGTCTTTGGTATTATGTAACTTATTTAAATAAATATTATAATTTAGATAATCTTCTGTACAAAGCTATTTCTTTAATGAATGTTATGCCAGTATTTTAATCTATGACTCAAAATAAATTTCATTCATTTAAATATATATTGGATCCCATGTTTGATCACTAAAATTATTGAAATATCAATATTAAAAAAAATATATTATTAGTATTTATACCGTTATAATGTTAATCAAAATATAATAAATTATCTTTTGCTTCATAAATTATAATTTGTTAAGCAAAGCTGTTTATTTGAGATAATAATGTGTAATTTGTACTAGTTCGTGAATATGCACTTAAAGAATCTCCTTGTTGTAAGGTGTTTATATGTGTGTGCATGTGTGAGGTATTGATTTGTAATTGATTGATGCATAATTTTTTGGTAAAAATATATTGGTTGAAATTTGCTTTTTCAACTGTCATGCTGTATTAATCAATATAGTTTTAATTAAAATGCCTTTAATTAGTACTAAAAATTTATATATAAATGTAAGATTCAAATTAGGGGACCTCTTTTCTCTTTGATCTTGCCAACTCCTAAAAGTTTTTGTATCTAAAATGAAGTCTTGGAAGTATGCAATATTTATCCTGTAAATCCTTTGAAGACCGGGATTACAGGCCAATATTAGGGTCTTCTAAAGCTTTGCAACACCAACTTATTACATTTTCAACTTGTACATTACAATTTGTTCTAAGTTGTTATTGAACCTGCATAAATAAGGAAAATAAAAACAAAAATATAGAGCAGTTTGTTGGCTGGAATGAATTGTTAACTGCTGACCTTTCATTTCTTTCTAACTTAATTTGTTTCTGCTTTTGTTTTATTAGAAATTTGTTATCTTGTATGTTTAAATGTTCATGCTTATGACTGTTTACTCGCTTGATAATTCAGTGCTTCATTGTCAATTTCAGAAATAAATTTCCTCAGTGTTTTTTAACAATCAATATCCATACACAGTATTTTATATGATATAGATTTGTGATTTTAGAATAGTATTTACTTAATAATAATATTGACACTTTTCTAGAATTCGGTGAAAATTTTAATAAAGTTAAGAGTCATGCTTTCAGAGAGAAATTGTCCAAAATTGAACATTTAAACTGTCAACTCCGCATTCCATTAAATTTTCTTTCTTCTTATTTTTCAGTTTCATTTTGTTCAGTCCTTTGGCATATGGTATCGACGGTTCTGCTGAATCCAATGGTACAACGAGTAAAATCAAATGGTTAGAATCATGGGAATTTTGATTTTTTTATGGCATTGTCATCAATTTTTAAAAATCAAAATTTATTATCATTTTTGATGTACATTTTTATATTTTTGTTGTATGCAACTTTTTATACAATATGAACAGTTTGATAAATACTTAAGTATGTTATTTTTGTATTGGTCGGTGACCACTAAGTTTTTAGCCTTTTGTATTAAAAGATGTAAATTTATTTTTGTACATAAATATGGATGGAATAAACTAAAGTAAAAGTTTATCTTGTTTTGTTTACTGTTTATGCTGTCAATTGTTTTCTGTCATTCTACCAAAAAAAATTCTTAAAACTGATATTTTTAACTGAGATTTAAATTGCAACTTAAAGTTTATTAAAATATTTTGCAATCTTTTACTTTTATATCAATATNCTTAAAGTAGAGCACTTTCACATCTGCCATTGTAGGCCAAGGGGAGAATCACGGAGTTTAAAACTCCGCAATTATGTAAGCTACAGAATGATTGTAGCAATGTGAACAGTACTGCGCACTAGCGGCCTTTACTTTTCAGACAAACTTGTACCCATCGATCTGAAGCTGGGTGGGTTTCAAGTTACGATTGGGGATCGAACCCCAGTTCTTCACATTGACAGTTCTGTGACTTAACCACAGAAGCCATCGCAATTTTTATTTTCTATAAACCTTTTGTTATTATTAATCATTACCTGTTTGTAAGTTAAAAGAAAGAGGATGCAAAAATACAACTGCTGCTTAGTATAAAAGTTAATAAGCTTGAAATCAAACAAGTCTTTTTGCAACTAGACATGAATTAAAAATTATTGCCTAACATGTAAGGGTCAAGTAAATAATAATGGGTACATTCATATGTTTTCATTGAAATGAATTTGAAAAGAAGATTACGCATGAGATCTATGTATTTAATTTTATGGTTGAGTCTTGGAGAAAAAACCACTTATTTTAATTTGTAAAATTTTTATCAGGTTTGTGTAATTCAGTGTTAAATCTATTGATTTTTCTGTAATTCAGTTGAATTACAAAAATTCAATTGAAGCTCCTGGTTTGTCTCTCACCTGTTTCACTTATATCAGATGTTAATGTGAGCTCAAATTCTATAGTAATGAAAACAGCATTCAATTTATCACACAACTAGTTCACTACTCACAGATTTCATACTACAATATTGTCATTGCAATTTTAGAGTTGTAGGTCATTGACCACACAAGAGAGTGATTCCTGAACAGGGAATTTTATCAATCTGGGAAAAGTCAAGAAATTTAATTATAACTTTAATTTAGAATTTTAATTATTGTAATGGATTAATTTGCAGTTTAAGGTATCTAAAGTTCTCATGTTTTTTAATACATTTTATGCGTAAGAATAAGGCGTAACTGAAGAATTGGGATATGAAATAAATGAAAAAGGTTACAAAAATCAAGGAAATCAGATAAAATCAATTTACACCAATTTGGTTTTTTTTTCTGAATGTTTATAACTACTCTTGTCTAGTTACGTGTATTTCAATACGCAAACAGTCTACAGTTAAAACACTGATAGTCCATCAGTTATTTTTTTCCAAATAATTGTCATTTTATCAAAATAACTGTCTCAGAAAAATCTAAAATCTTTTGGCTTGTAAAAATACGAAATGAAATTATATCAGAGAAAGGAAACCTCACTACAATAAAAAGAATATTCAACAAGAGAAGGTAGTAATGGATGGTGCATGAGGACATATGGTGTCACCAAGAGATAAATTGACACACATTTCTTTATCTGGACCCCTGATGGCAGAAGAAAACGGAGAAGACCAAGTAGGATTTTATGATGATATGATTATGTAAATTGCAATTATTTGATTATTTAAGTAGATTTTGAGAGCGTAAAATTTAAAGGATTACAAAATGCCAGGCCCGAAGCTAAAAACAGGAGGGCATGTCGTAGTAAGTCAGATGCACCGAGGGCGTGAAGAGCCGAAGTAAGTGAAGAGGTTGTTTTTTTTTTAAATTTAAACGTGGAAGAACAATTTCTTTGGGAACTTAACTGATTTGCTTCTCTTACTTTCGAATTAAAATATAAAGCTTTCCCTTCAATTTGAGTACTTCTGAATTTTTATAAATAGCAAAAACAAATATTTTAAAATGCCACATAGGAGAGGAAATAATATAGAAAATAATTTTTTTATCCATGTGCTGCAAATTTTCATAAAATTTAATTTATAGTTGGTATATTCGCGATCGCAACATTCTAATACGCCGTCCGGGCAGAAGATCAATTCCCTTATCAAAAAATATTTTTTTAAATTTCCAGGACGCTTTCTTTTAGAACTATATTCAATGTAGTTTTCAGCTCCATATAGTTTTCCAACTTAGAAGTTTTTAGTCTATTTGAAAATCAAGATGGAAACTAACGCAATTTCTTCTATTGCTACTCTCCACACGCTAATGGTTAAAGTATGTGAAGTGTTGCCATAGGTAGAGGGTTCTGTTCTACGCCACCTATAGCCCATTTCGATCGCCAATTCTCGAGAAAAAAACAATCATTTCCTTTTTTTTTACTGATGTAGGATAAGACACATCTAACTATTTTTATGGATGGTTGACTGAATGTAACCATTTGGCGATCGAAATGGGTTACAGGTAGCTTAAAGCAGAACTCTCTACATATGCCAACACTTCGCACCAGTAGCTTGTAGAGAGTCATGGGAGAAGGAAGTATGTTAGTTACAGTCTTGATTTTTAATTGAACTGAAAATTATATTGAGCATAGATCTAAAAGAAAGCGTAGTGGAAATTTGAAAAAAGTATTTTTGACAATTATATACGAAGAATGTTAAGAAAGGGGAAAATATTGCAGTATATTCCTAAACAACTGAGAAGAGGAGGAGTGAAAAGGGGTAAGGTTCAAGACATGTGGAACCTGTATTCTCTCCAGATGGCGTTACGATCGCGAATCACAAGCTTCCTAAACCCGGAAGAAATTTTAGAAGACTTCCGGTGTATTCCTCCGCTTATGTTATGCTTATAAGGCGATGCGTGAACAAGCTTAATATTCTAGGAAGTTTTGTCATTGAGATTTGTTTTTACATTTACGCGTGATTTTACCTTTCATAAATGTTCTCTGTAATTTATAAATTCTTACAAGTTGCGTTAATTAACATTCTAATTTATATGGTGGGTAGGCGCTTTATTTACGTCGCACTAGAGTTACGCTATTGGCCACGGTCTGGGAAACATCCCTAAGGAAGTCCGAAGTAATGCCATCACAATTATCTGCAAGAGGGATGGCTCCCTTGCTTTAGTTTAGCAGACGGCCTGCTCACGAATCGAGCACCTCTCGGTAGAACAGTTTAACGAGGACCTTTACAGAGCACCCTGAGTCCCTACGCAGACTGATCAAAGTGGTCACCCAGCCGCTTACTGACCGCAGCCAGTGATGCTTGACTTCGATGTTCTAACTTATATGGAGGAACTTAGTTCAAGTTTAACACGCTATTTTGCTTATAAACGATCGGCTGCCGCTGTCATCATAGGTCACACGTGGGCAAGGGCGCCGTCAGAATAATATAAAAGGGGGTGCAATCCTCTAACAAACAACCTCCCCCCCCAAAAAAAATTTTTTTTTTTATCTTCAATATTCTGTTATTACATTTTGTTTTGTTGTTACATATGCTTTCATCTGTTAATTTTTTTCAAGATACATTTCTTCATTGTTAAGATATTTTAAAAAAGTACGAATTTCTTGTAATTGCAAATTTTGCCACGAGAAACTGTATTGATGGTGCTGGCATATGGCATAGCTACTGACTTTGAAACACAAATAACTAAAAACAGTAGTTTCGTATGCTAACGTGTTTGTGTACGCTTAACATTGGTATTTATTGTGTTGATGAAGTTTTACAGTTGTGAGAAGTCAGTTTGTTAAACTACAACTCATACACCTTTGTTAAACTAAATGACTAATGGAAAATATAACATTATTTATCTTTTATTAAATGAAACTTAAAAATATAGCTTAGATATCTGCCAAGTTTGTGCATGCATGCTCAGTGTGCATAAGAAAAGAATCAAAGTTTACTCAGAATTCATTGAAAAAGTTATAAACAGATTTGGACAGCAAACAGGACTATTACAATTCTTGTTTGATTAAAAAATTTTTTAATTGTTATATATTATTAATTACCTAATTATTTGTTTTTTTAATAAAAAAAATTTATAACAAAATTGTTTTTCTGTATCTCTTTAATTGATTAAAAAAAGACCAGGGGGGTGCAAGTGCACCCCCTTGCACCCCGCTGCCGGCGCCTTTGCACGTGGGGGTATTTGTGATCGTATTTTCCCTGTAGAGCCGACCTGGTTACCGAGTGGTTAGCGTGGTTGACTGCGGAGCCGCTGGTCGCGGGTTCGAATCCTGCTCAGGGCATGGATGTTTCTTTCTCTCTGTGTTCTATGTCCTTTCTCCTTTGTGTGTGAATGTGACCCGCCTTATAAACGGGTTGTGGTTGTGTGACGTGAGCGATGCTGCTCCACCGCCGTGGCTTCGCCACAGGTGCCCACTGGGTAACGAGAAGAGAGTAGCAGTTCTTTCATTCCTGTGGCCAATGGGACAACCCCCAAGTGCCCGCCATTAAAAAAAAAAAAAAATTCCTGGAGTGCAAGTACCCAATTATCTAAAAGAAATTATGTATTAAAATTTTTAAAGCATTTTAAATAAAAAGTAACAGTTTCGAAAAAAATATTTTTTACATTGGATTATTTTTTCTAAAAAAATCATCATTTTTATAATTGGGTACTTGCTACTCGTGGAGAAGAATATCGTTGAAGTCACATAATTGTCCTTAAGCACGTAGATGTGCATGCATTGCGCTTTAAATTTATAAATATATTATGGCTCAGTTTATTAACACGCCCAATCAATATTCAGATCAGATTTGATTGGATACCTGGAAGTGAAATCCCGCGTATGTGTCCAACCTGATTGGCTGCCGAATCGTGATAATGCTTTAATGTAAAGTTCGAAGTATCTGCTTTACAGCCTCTTCAACTGACTTATTTTCCCTAGGTAACGCGAATGAATTAAGTTTGAATTTATAGTACAATATTATGAATTTTATACTAAAAAATAGAATAATATGATATAATATTTACATGAATGAAAACGAGATATTCCGAATAATAGAATGTAATATTCACAAGAACGAAAAAGAAATATTTACAAGAACCGAATCGAATA